TTCCTGCTGCGACGTTACTCCATCCCTGTAAAGTTGCATTCCTCCCTAAAGGCGCTGAACTTCCTCCTGGGATTTCATCTTTTGTGTGCCGACGTCTTTATGACATCACAAACAAGTGTTTATGGTGGCTAACTGATAAAGATTATAGTAATGTGAGTTTTGATTCTCTTTCATAGCTTGTGTTTCCCTGTTATAGATTTGAATCTTTGCTGCAGTTTTTTATGTCATTTCTTTTGACAGGAACGACAAGAAGAAGTAGGTAAGTTATTATACAAAACGCGAGTAGAAATGCATGCAACAACAGTGCAGTCAGGTGGCCGATCTCCCAAGCCATCAAGTGGTCCAACATCAACTTCACAGTTAAAAGCTGGGGCAGAGAGTATCCACAACAGTGTATCATCATTTTCTTCTCAAGTGAAAGGGAAGAAAAGAGAGAGAGGAGAGCAGGGTACTGAGTCTGTCAAACGGGAACGCATCACAAAAATAGATGATGGGGATTCTGGTCACTGTAGAAATGAAAACCTATTAAAATCTGAGATAACCAAAATAACAGAAAAAGGAGGGCTTTTTGACTCTGAAGGAGTTGAGAGATTAGTGCAGCTCATGCTACCTGACAGAAATGAGAAGAAGATAGATTTGGCTGGTCGGTCAATGCTTGCTGGAGTTATTGCAGCCACAGATAATTTTGATTGCCTCAGTCAATTCGTGCAGCTTCGAGGTCTGCCTGTATTTGATGAGTGGCTCCAAGAGGTCCACAAAGGAAAAATTGGTGATAGTAGCGCATCGAAGGATGGTGATAAATCGACTGAAGACTTTCTCTTGGTTTTACTTCGTGCACTTGATAAACTGCCCGTGAATCTCCAGGCCTTGCAAACATGTAACATTGGGAAGTCAGTGAATCATTTGCGATCTCATAAAAACTCAGAGATCCAGAAAAAAGCCAGGAGTTTGGTTGATACATGGAAGAAACGTGTTGAAGCTGAAATGAATATCAATGACATGAAGTCTGGCTCGAATCAGGTTGTCTCCTGGCCTGGTAGATCACGTCCTGAAGTTGGAAATAAACATCCAGGTGGATCTTCTGATATTGCCATCAAGAGTGCATATGCAAATTTTCAGGCCACTAAATATCCTTCAGTTAAGCTTGTCCCGGGGGAGAGTACTACCAGATCTGCTTCTGCCTCTCCAGGCTCTATGAAATCGGTTCCATCTCCTGCGTCAGCCAGTACTAATCTAAAAGATGGGCATCCTCGGAATACTGGTGCTGGTGGCAGCATGTCTGATGTTCCTTTGACAACAGCAAGGGATGAGAAAAGCAGCAGTTCTAGTCAGTCTCACAACAATAGTCAATCTTGCTCTAATGACCATGCCAGAACTGGTATTTCTGGGAAGGATGAGGCAAGGAGCTCGAGTTCTGGTTCAATGAATGCAAATAAGGCATCTGGTGGCTCTTCACGACCTCGGAAATCAGTTAATGGAATCCAAGGCTCCCTATCTGGAAGTCAAAGGGAAAGTTGGACTGGCAGAAATTCTTCATTGCACAAGAATGCAGCAGTAGAAAAATCATCACATTCTGGTTTGACAAGTGAAAAGGTAGTTGATGGGGCTACTGCAGAGGGTAATAGTCATAAATTGATTGTCAAGATTCCAAATCGAGGACGCAGTCCTTCACAAAGTGCTGGAGGTTCTTTTGATGACCCTACAATCATTAGTAGCAGAGCTTCTTCTCCTGTGCTTCGGGAGAAGCATGATCAGTTTGATCGTAGCTTGAAGGAAAAGAGTGATGCTTATCGAGCTACAGGTGCCTCAGATGTAAATGCCGAGTCCTGGCAAAGTAATGATTTTAAAGATGTGCTGACTGCCTCTGATGAAGGGGATGGGTCACCTGCTACTATGACAGATGAAGAGCGTTGTAGGACTGGCGATGAAAACAAGAAGGCTGTAGAAGTATCAAAAACTGCATCCTCATCATCAGGAAACGAACATAAATCTGGGAATTTTCAGGAGGCTTCCTTCAGTTCTATAAACGCTTTAATTGAAAGTTGTGTGAAGTATTCTGAAGGTAATACATCTATATCTGCTGTTGACGATCTTGGTATGAATCTGCTTGCTAGTGTTGCTGCCGGAGAGATTTCAAAGTCTGATTTGGTTTCTCCATCTCGTTCTCCACAAAGAGACACTCCAGTAGAGCTTCCCGGCACAGGCAATGACTCCAAAGTGAAACTAATACCTGCAGACGACCTTTGTAGAAATCAAAGTCGGTCTGGTGATGTCACTGATGATGAACATGGGAAGCATTCTAGTGACTCTGTTAACCTTGAGGCTAAGGATGGAGATGATAAATCCGTGCTATGTTTTGAAGGGAAACCTAAGTCTAAGCACACTGGGAATATAGAGTATTCCGGTGCAGATTTTCAGCAAGCTGAAGGTGACGAAGAAAGCAATGGAAAATCAAATGAAGTTATTTTAGCTCCTGTCCTTGCGTCCCCTTCAAAGACAAGTGAGAAAACGGCAGGGGCAGATAGTGAAGAAGGCAAACCAACTCAAGAGAAATTAGCAGTTGGTGGAGTAAATGCTGATGGCAATTTAGATGTTAAACACAATAGAACTGATTCTTTGTTACGCGAAGATAAGGCCGGTGATGGTGGCTCAAATAACGAAGTTAAAGCATCTGTTGAAGAATCATATTCGTGCCCAGCCATAGAGACCGATGCTAAGATTAAGTATTGCCTGAATGAAGGTATGGACAGTATTCTGCAGACAGATGAGAAGCCACCTGTCTCAGTGGTGAAATCCAAGTCCGTTAAAGAAACTTGTGAAGGTATGTTGCCTTCTGATTTGGGCAAAGATTTGGTTTCAGAAAAAGCCCATGAAGTGAAGATGGAAAAGCCTGATACTGTTGATACTAGGTCTGAAAATAAAAGAACTGATCCAGAAATTAATGCTTCTACAACCCCCGAGAATCGAGTTGTTGCCGGTGTAACTTCTGGTGTTGCTCATCAAAGTAGCGAGTGTATAGAGCGTAACTTGGATACCAAAAAGATTGGACAATGTGGTGAACCAGTTTCTCGCAAGTTGTCATCTGCAAATGATGTCCAAGAGGCAGAACAACCTGCGAGGTCCAGAGTTTCCAAGTTGACTGGCTTGGAAACAGATGAGGCTGAGGAATCTACGACTGCAGATGCTTCTTCCATGCTAGCTGCTGGGGTTTTAGACACGGATGCAAAGGTGGAATTTGACTTGAACGAGGGATTCAGTGCTGACGAAGGGAAATATGGGGAGCCTAAAAACTCAGCATCTGGATGTTCACCTGCTGGTCGTTTGATTAGCCCGTTTCCTTTTCCTGTTTCATCTGTGTGCAGTGGACTTCCTGCTTCAATAACTGTGGCTGCTGCTGCAAAAGGGCCGTTCCTTCCACCTGACGACCTATTGCGGAGCAAAGGGGAACTTGGTTGGAAAGGATCGGCTGCTACAAGTGCATTTCGTCCTGCTGAGCCCAGAAAGATTCTAGATATGCCTCGTGGTGTAACAAACAGTTCGCCCCCTGAATCAACTGCTGGAAAGCAAGGACGCCCACCGTTGGATATTGATTTGAATGTACCTGATGAAAGAGTTCTAGAGGATATGGTGTCTCGATTTTCTGGTCAGGGGACAAGCTCTGCTTCTGATCCAGCTAATAATCGTGATTTGGCACACAAGTCTAGTAGTCTCACCCCAGTTCGTTCTTTTGGAGGACTGGATCTTGATCTGAATCAAGTTGATGATACTTCTGATATGGGCAATTACTCAATTGCTAAGGATAATCCAATTTTGCAATTCAAATCATCATCTGGGAATGCTCTAAGTAGTGAAATAGGTGCTCACAGGGATTTTGATTTGAACGATGGGCCTGATGTTGATGAGGTGATTGCTGAATCAGCACTCTTTACTCAGCAAGCTAAGAGTATTCTGCCATCCCAACCTCCTATTTCCGGTCCTAGAATTAACAACACAGAAGCAGGGAACTACTCATGGTTTCATCCTGGAACCCCTTACCCAGCTGTTACCATTCCATCTATTATACCTGACCGAGGGGAGCCGCTTTTTCCCATTCTTGCAGCTGGCGGGCCGCAAAGGATGATGGTTCCCCCTAGTGGTGGCAATCCTTTTGCTCCCGATGTCTACCGGGGACCCGTTTTGTCAGCTTCTCCAGCGGTGCCTTTTCCTTCTACCTCGTTTCAATACCCTGTCTTTTCTTATGGAACCAGCTTCTCCTTGCGGCCTACCACATTTGCAGGTGGTTCAACAACATTCTTGGATTCATCAAGGGTTTGCTTTCCTACTGTGCATCCACAATTATTAGGACCTGCTGGTGCTGTTTCTTCCAATTACACAAGGCCTTATGTGATTAGTCTTCCAGATGTCAACAATAATAGTAGTAGCGAGAGCAGTAGGAAGTGGGGAAGGCAGGGTTTGGATCTTAATGCCGGGCCTGGAGGCCCAGAAATAGAGGGGAGAGATGAATCTTCGTCACTTGTAGCAAAGCCACTGTCGATTTCTGGTTCACAAGCCCTAACAGATGAGCAAGCGAGGATGTTCCAGATTCCAGGTGGCGCCTTGAAAAAGAGGGAGCCTGAGGGAGGGTGGGATGGCTACAAGCAATCCTCATGGCACTAGGAACGTATATTAGTGATTCTGGTGACAAATGAAACTTGTAAGTTTCCGGTTTTGTACTTCTCACTCTTGTGTGAAAGGTTTGTTGAATTGATTTTTGAAATAAAGCTTCAACCCCAAAGCGATTGTCCCCAATAGCATAGTCTAAGATTGCATAGGGAACATTTTGAACGATGTTTTTCCTTGTTTGGAGGTACAGGATTTACCCAGCACAACAGGCCATAGAAACTGTCTTCTGTGGTTTGAATTAGTTCAGTTTAATGACATTTGATTATGGCAGCCTGTTGCGATTGTAAATGCTGGAAATGAGGGAATGGTAAATATAACTGCTTTTGCCTAATTGTTTCAAAGATGAGTAATAAGGGTTAACAAAATTTTAAAAAATACTGATTACTGGGCTATCTTAGAAAATTATATCTTTCCCCTTTTTATTTTCTCATTAAGATTTAAGATAATAGCATAGGAGAGGTTATCACTTTGTTCATTCCTATAATTAATATTGAATTTTTTTTTTCTTTTTCTCCTACCGTTGAAATTTGAATGAAGTGCTTCTCTTTCTTAAATGTCTAAAGAGTTTTTTATGCTCGTCGTTGTGTTTTCCCTTCAGAAATGCCTTTTCAATCCAGCTTTGGTTATATTTTTGCTCAACAGCTTTGGTTATATTTGTTATTGATTGATACCTATTTTTTTATATATTTATTTTTCAGTGTTTTGAGGATGGGCATTTGCTAACCCCTGAGATCATCATCTAACTTGTGTGCTTCTGGAGGATGGGTGGTAAGTGAGTTATTTGATGTTGTTCATAGTCTCCGACCCCCACCTCTTTGCTGTATCAATTGTATCTTGAAGGGAATTTGTCCGGGGTCGACAAGCTGTTTGTTCCTTAAATTTATTCTGGGTGGCTTCAGATCAGTTTCCCTTTTGTAGATATTTTAACTGTTCGAAATCATACACTATTTGCCCAGAAACTCGAATTGGTTCCCATACTGGTGTTTCATTGCATCAACTAAATATACCGTTGGGCCCAAAACGATCCCCCTCTCCAATCTTTGCCAATAATGGAAGTTATTTCGGTCTACTTAAAAAAAGGAAATCCTTTTGTATGCTTTTTGTTGTTAATTTATCCACGTCATCGTATATTATATTTTTACATATATTGTGTAAGCAGAGTGGTTGTCAATTTTTGGCACTTAGCTCTTCTTGATATGGTATCTTTTTCTTGAAATGGCTGATATTGTGTTCTCTGATTATTATTCCTCTTTTCTTTTCTTTTCCAATTCACTAACCCAAGTTTACGTGTGAATTTTTGTCCAAGTCTGATCAATATTTGTTCTGGTTTATCCTTGGTCTTCTAGATTTATGATTTATCAAGTGTTTCTTTTTCTAACCTTGGGGGGCTCTTTTTGCCATTGTCTTGAGTTTGTCATTGCATGAGTAGGTGTTTGCAGATGCTATACCCTGGTTTTTTATATATTATTATTATTATTATTATTATTTTCCCGTTGTGACGGCACTGCAGGAGAATGGCGATAGAAATTGGGAATTGTTCAAATTATGTCTTCAAACTATTTGTAAAATTTGACTCTCAAGTGACATTTCTATATGTGAAGTTGTTCCAATTACTCGACCTATGTGCTTGTAAGCCGCTGTTTTCCTCCTGTAAAGCCGCATCTCTCGTTTCACTTTAGATATAAGAAATATCTTTCAGAAAGAGAAGGGTAGCTTGAAAGTTGTAAGTAGAAGTAAATATTTGTTAAAAGCTGCAGTTTTCAAGTCTTTTTATTCTGTGCTAGGCCTTAGTTTTGTTTTCCTGCCTTTATAAGTTTTAACTATAACTTGATGCCTTTGTATTGTGAAACACCAGAAATTATAAAAGTTTGCTTAATTTAAGGATATTCCTTTGGTTTTAATTTAGAAAAAAAAAAGAGTGAGATTCCTTTGGTTTGAACAGTATCTCATTTGCTATCAACTGGAAACGAAATTGTACTCCCACTGTGGCAGTGATGCGAGAAGTTGCCTTGTTAAAACAAGGGATCTTGTGGTTTTACATTATTGTTGTGTATAGAACTTTTACCATACTACAAATGACCAATCAAAAGTATAAGAAATCCTCGGGTGAGGTGTGTATACACGTGCATGTTTAAGCTCGGCAGCCATTAGTTTGATGATTGTATTAATTACGAACCATTACTTTCGTGTATACACGTGCATGTTTAAGCTCGGCAGCCATTAGTTTGATGATTGTATCAATTACGAACCATTACTTTCGCAATTGTTTAATAGCATGTTTGGTAAAAGAATTCAAATTCCATTTCAAATAGTTCTGTTATAGTACTTTTCCTCACCAAAATTTGAATTTCGGTTCAAACCACCTGGTTATTTTTTAACTTCTAGTTTCGGTAAATTGTTCTTTGAATGAATATCTTCGCAATTATTACATAAACATATCTGATAGAAGAAATGCAATTTCAAGTGATTATTATGAATGGAGCACGTCATGTCGTATACGTGATGAGGTCATGAGGATAATTTTCTAAAAGTTTAGGGGTGTTCTTTTGGAGTAATTTGAGTGTAATTTTTAAGTTAAATTTGAGTTATAATTTGAGTTGAAATTGTAATTTGAATAAAATTGAGTAAAGTTAAATAAAGTTGAAACTTAAAAGAACGTGAATTTGAATAAAGTTAGAACTCGAGTTGTCTTTTTTTAAATTTTTTGAACAAAAGAACATGTCGTGTCAATCAACAATTTGAAAACCTTTTCCACCGTTATTGAAAAAGTTAGAGTAAAGTTAAATAAAGTTGAAACTTAAAAGAACGTGAATTTGAATAAAATTAGAACTCGAGTTGTCTTTTTTTTAATTTTTTGAACAAAAGAACATGTCGTGTCAATCAACAATTTGAAAGCCTTTTCCACCGTTATTGAAAAAGTTGACAGAATAACTCGACAATTGAGGACAAAAGTGCTAAAAACTGTTTGTGTAATGCTCCAATGAGGATGAAATTTGCAAAGGAATGGCATCACTAAAGCAGGCAGGGGTTTCTCGTGTAAAAGAAAAAACCTTTGAAACCTCGATTCTTTACAATGGACCACCAATATATGCAAAAGTTAGTGTCTAAAGGATACTATTTTCCCCATATACTTTCAAATATAGAGTTGAAGAAAAAAATAAAAAATACAAAAGAAAGGGCAAAAAAAAAAATAAAGGGGTCACAGTAGTAGTAGTCACTGTTGGACAGAGCTATGGTAAGATATGCTCTACAAGTTCCATCAGAACTCCAAGTAGGAGACAACCAAGAGCATAACAAGTTGTTGCGGCCAAAAACGAAACCTATGATCGCGACAAGACTTTCATTTGAGACACACGAGTTTCCTTCCACAAAGAACGTTTCTGCAGTTGGAAACAAACACAAGCGATTACGCCCGAGTAATTACAAAAAGAAAGCAGTAACAATCCTACTCGAAAAAGACATGAGATAAACAGTACAACATGAACAAGAAAACATGAAAACCTTGTACCAAAGCAAAGGATACAACAATGTGGTAAAGATAGAGAAAAAGGTATTATTTAGTCGTATGGCAGGGCATCTAACAGTGTTATGAATGTTTAAAAGAGAAAAAGTACAGACATTAGGCATCCTCGGCGTTGCTTTTTCTTCTTTTCTTTTTGCTTCTGCGGCGGCTTGATGACAACCTTAATTGCTGCATCGAAAACTGCTTTCACATTCTGCAAATTGCATTAAAAAAGGGTGGTAATTCAGAGTGATAATCACTCGAGAAAAGTGTTGGCCAGACAAGAAAGAACATCCAAAAGCACTACATATGTAGATGTAGATCGTTGATACTTGATAGAACGAAAACCATTACCACAAACAGCATCAGGGAGTTCTTTGAAGAACTCAACAAATGCTACAGGATTAACAATGTCACGAGACATAAAACTCGTACATGTGCGTTTTTGTATGTGTACCTGCTGAGTTTTTGAGCTGCATTCTATATAATATGCAGTGCCTATCTGTTTCCGCAGTTCCTCGCCCTAAATAATTAAAAGATCAATACCATCAACGAAATTACACAATAAAACCATGTCAGAAACGAAAACTTCAGAATCCAAATCACACCTGTGCAGTAGTCACAGGCACCAATCCTGGATGATCAGCCAAATAGTGCTTATCCTCACGAAGATCTATTCCATTACACAAACAAATGAATTAATCGCAACATCGCTGTAAACTCCCTGTCTCTATGATGATCGCAAGAAGAATTTCGTTTAAACCCACGTACTCCTAAATCATGCATTTTTTCTAGTGCTAAATGGTGTATTTTGCTTGCTAGTTGCTACAATTGAAATGGAAACTCTTGCATGAGGGGTTAGGTATTATGAAAGAAACTATCAAGGCTTCAATTTATAGAGATCAAACACTTTTAAAGCATGGAAAGTTGTATTTTTCACTGTACATTGGATGTCAAACACTTTTAAAGCATGGAAAGTTGTATTTTTCAATTTATACACTTTTAAAGCATCAAACACTTTTAAAGCATTGAAACTACACTGAAAACTAACTCATAGCGAAATCTTGAGCGACGAATTCAGCGGTGAGGGAAGCAAATAACTACATCTTAAGAGTGATCTAAGATTAGAAGAAGAAAAGATAACATGCACCGAGAGCATAAATTATTGGTCCTTTCAACTTAATGAAAACGCTGTTCTTTTTGGGTCTTCTGTCACAAATGTTTAAACCTTAACCTTTAAATGTTTAAACCTTAACCTTTAAAATGATAAGCACAGGAAAAAATATTGATTTCATAGGAAAAACTGTTTCAACAGATAAAGCACCTCCTTCGACTGATCCTTCTTAATTCCTTCAAACGGTTAGATTTAGTACGGAACTAATTAGAGCTGTCCCATGAAAAAAGGCCAATTTTTGAATGTGTTACAAAAGCTCTCAACATTTATGGCAGAAATATCGGTCACCTAGTCTAATTGAACTAGAAAAACATAGTTAAAACTAAAAAGATAAATTTTTATCACTATGTTTTCAAAACTCATTGGTTAAATTCAAGGCTTTCTTGTCTCACTCACCGAGTTTGGTGCCCACGAGTACTACAGGAACTCCAGGAGCAAAATGCTGAAGCTCAGGAATCCACTGAAAAACAGATAAATTTATTTTTAAAAAAAATATTAGTGAGTCTAAAAATACAAAGCAAAAATAACAACACATTAAAACATTCAAAAGCATCAATTTTGCACCTTTTTCATGACATTCTCATAGCTTGCACGACTAACTAATGAGAAAGCTAAGACAAATACATCAGCCCCTCTGTAGCTTAATGGCCTTAATCGATTGTAATCCTCTTGCCCTGTGAAATAAATTTAAGGAAAAAATATATATAAAAAAATAACAAACTTGCCCAATTTGGAAACTTTTTTCTTAGTGATAAGATCAGACTGAAATTCTGAGACTTTTTAAGGCATAGTTACTCATTTTTAGTAATTTTTTTGAAACCCAAAAACTAAAAATAGAAAAAAATAATAATAATTAAGCATTTCATTAATGGAAAAGGATTGAGAATTCTTTACCAGCTGTATCCCATAAGCCCAAGTTCACTGTTGTGCCTTCAACTACAACATTGGCACTGAAGTTATCAAACACTGTGGGTATATAATCCTGAAAAAATAAAATATAAAAAAGTAAAAATATGGGATTAAGTAAAGTCAACGGTATGAACAAGATCAGAAAATTAAGGAAAAAAAAAAAAAAAAAAAAAAAAAAAAAAAAAAAAACCAAAAGACTTTGTTTCAGCTGAAACCCAGGTGAGTTTAGAACCCAAAACTTCACATGAAAGGAAAAGAAAAGCAATTTGTCTAGAGTAGAGAGAGAAAGAGAAGTAGTAATAAAATCTTGAAAGAAGAAGAAAAAGCTGGCAAAACCCAGAAACTTACTGGTAATAAAGAATTGAAAAAACAGAAAAGAACAAAAAAGAATCCAAAAACTGAGACCCACGAGGATCTTCTTTCTTTCACAAAGAATGTCTAGAGAGAGAGAGAGAGAGAGAGAGAGAAGATACAGTAGGGAATTTGTTGCTTGTGTAGCAAATAAGCATGCAGGTTTTCCCAACGGCCCCATCTCCTACTGTCACACATTTGATGAACCTTGAAGCACTAGAAGCCATGGAACCCAAACCAAGAAACAAAATACTCTCTCTCTCTCTCACTTTCTCTCTCTAGAGTTCTCAAAGAGAAACAACAGAAAGAATACAAAAAAACTCCAAAAAACGAAAAGAAAAGAAGGGTGCGGGGGGTGGGTTATAGGGATTTACACAAAGTTTATGGCTTTTGATTTAGAGTGATAGACAGACAGAAAGAGACTGGTTGGGTCACATGATTCTCACTCATTCACTCCCTCTAATGTATTAAACTTTTTTTTTTTAACTTCTTCTTGTTTTATTATTATTATTATTATTATTATTATTATTATTATTATTTTGTTTTTTGTTTCTTGTTTTTCTTTTTTGGGTTTTGGCAGATGAAAATAGAAAAATATATGGATGTCCTGTGACTACAATAAATTCCATCAATTTCTCTTCTTTGCTTTGACAGACGGGAAATGGGTCTTGGTTGTAATTTTCATTTTTTAAGGAAAGAATGCAAGTACGGGGTAGGTTGTTTTTATCAAATAACTTTTGAGAATTTTTATCAGCAGAAATTACTGTTTTAATCATCTAATTAATTTTTCATTTGTATCAATTATAATAAGAGATCAATTTTATGTCATGGTCTTTTAATGTAAATACTTATATAATTAAAGAATTAATCCAACTAACTTAAATAATAAGTTTGTTGGTTTTGGTTGTTTTCCCTCATCAATTTCTTGATTTTAGTGGTTTTAGTGTTATTTTTTATTTTTTGTATGTTTTAATCAGATTTTTCGCTTCAACGAGCTTAATCTGGAAGAATACCGACTTTCAACGATCGAGTTTTACAGAAAGTTTGCTACAATCCATTTAGAAGAGCCAATTATGCAGAGAGAATTAAAAGAGTCTAGAAGAAGTGCTACACATTGTGCCCGCCATCGAACCTTAAATCATTCTATTAAGACGTCAACAGATCTATCAAATTTAGTTTGTTGTATTAAGTTTTATGTATTGAAATTTCTGTAAGCTTTATGCTTTGTTGTTAATAAAATGTTGTTTTGCATTAAAAAAAAAGTTTCAATGATTTTTTTTTTTACTTTTCTTTGCTTGAACAATGATTTTTTTTTTATATACTTTCCATCGTATTTTAATAACCGTTGTTAGAATTGCATCATATTAAGCATTTTTTATACTCTACCACTTTTTCGCATTATATTATTTTTCAAAACAAAATATAGCCATTTTTTAGGATTTTCTCTGACAAGCCTCCCTATTAGTAGGGTAAATTTCTAACTATTGAATCTGAACATAATCATATTAAATAAAAAAAATTATGTAGAATAAATAATTTTTAAGACAGATCGCTAAAAATAGAAAATTACATCTTAGTAAAGAAACTCTTTTTTTTTTTAACGCAGATATCTCTATGAATACATAACTCCATTTTTTTTTATGCAAATATCTCTATAAAAACCTTTATTAATCCTAGGATTCCGGGGTTTGTTTTGTAACCTTTGCAGCAAGATTGTCTTTCTTACCGTTGCCTATTGGGCGGTTGCATCCGTGACACACTTAGATGGCTTAATTCTCTCTCTCTCTCTCTCTCTCTCTCTCTCTCTCTCTTTTTTTTTTTTTTTTTTTTTCATTTCTTTGCTTCTTAAAGATGATTCAGTTATTCATAAAAATAATAAAAAAAGAAGACGATAATTCATAATAAAACTTCTATGTGGACGTATGAATAAAAAATACAAATTTGACATATCTAGTTGTTGAGCTAGAGAAATTTTTCATTTTGATTGACTTCTGCATACTATCTGTGTCCCTGTACTGAACATGAGAATTTTACAGATCATATTCCTACTCTCAAGATTACTGCATAACAAACTATTTTAAAAAGATGTGAAAATGGTACGCCAAGTTAATAATAGTCACGTTATTGTTAATATTACTGCTCTAACAAGTGGAACTGCAATACACAAAAGCAGAAAAATTGGAACCCTAACTCTGATCAATTCATTTTTTTTTTTTTTAAAAAAGGATAATTACAGCATCTAACTGCTCCATAACTCTTCAGTTCCAATTTTAAAAGGATATAATTTACAGCATCTAACCAGAGTGGAGCCAAAATTGGGATATAAAGAAATGTCACCAACTGCATTAATCAGCTGCATGAAATGGTGGAAAACCATAGGACCACACATGCATTATTTTTCTTTCTTTCACAATTTCAGATTGGGGGTGGTCAATTGTTGATAATCCTTTTTGCCCATTTTCCTTGCCATTTATGGCTTTTGTCACCTTTTCTTTCTCGGAGAATTGGCGAGGAATGTTTGAATCCAACCTTGGTTTTTAAGCTGCTCTTTTGGGGACCATATTCATGAATATTATGTCATACATATCCTTGTTCTTTACACTAGGAAATCAATAAAAAAGAGATTTTGAATTCTTGGCATGTAGAATAATTTACCAAGAATTATAAGATATGTTTCCTTTCTTTGCTCACTTTTTTTTTTTTGTTAAGAAAAAGATCTCATTGGTATCATCTTGTCCTCTCATTCTCTTCTTAACTTTAGAAATCACAAGAATTGCTAATTTTTTTACCCACTTGCTGTTTTTAGAAGGGAGTTGGTTGGAAGAAAGAAAAAAGAAAGATTTAAAAAAAAATAAAGAAACCTTTTGGTAAGCTAATAAAGACTTACAACTATATATTATAATATAATTAGATACAAGGCAAGAAAAGCAAAATATAAGTCTAGGTCGGCTATAATAACGCAGGCTTTAAAAGCGTTTGGTTGAAAGCATAAGTAACCCTTAAGCAAAGCACTAAAAAGGGCTCTCCACAAAGGGGATAAACAATTGAAAAATAATAAAATAAATTAGAACGGAAAGAGAATGGAGGATTTGCTTAGGCAGAAGAATATAAAGGGTCCAGATTCAAGAAGAAAGTTGTGATTTGATTCCTCAAATAAGCCCACTTATGGGAACTTCTTTTTTACTCAAACAAATTCCCTAACTAATTGTTTAAAAAAAAAAAAACCAAGAAGAAGAGAAAAACTAAATTGGTTATTTGCTTAAAGTTATGTTTATTGTTGTATGATGACATTCTGTACAATTAGTCACTGCAATTATTTTTTTGGTGGATAGTGCTAATAACAAAATCCATTATAATATCCATCACTATGTGAAATGAAAGTAGCTTTTTCATATTTTACTTGCACGTTAAGGTTGATTCTTCAGAAAGACTGTAGAGTAATATTTCTCTTTTTTTAAGCCAAGTAAGCAAATTTCTTGGGATACACAATTAGTTTGTCATATGCACTAGATAATATGTACTTTAATCTCATAAAAATTGCCATATATTTATTATATATATTTTTTGTGTCATGCATGTCATACAAATTTTTGTAACTATATGTGTGGTTCGCATTTACGCCTAACAAAATTCAGATAAATAAAAAAAATACCTTTGCTTTAGACTCTTTTGGTCTATTAATGACATGGAGAGGAGGTCGTGGAGAACGTTGAGTGAGGGTTGTGGGTCCGATCTTAATATCGAGGATACGTTTGTTTTATAACTCAGTTCTTAATTTAATGTATGTAAGAGAAAATTATTGTAATAAAAAAATTAAATTTGAATTTTTATATGAGAAAACATTGTAACAATAGTTAATACAAGTTGAGTTGTGACTTGTGATGGTAATTTGATAAGATCTCAAATTTAATCTTACTTTAGTTTGTCGTTATTGAATGTAATGACGAGTAAAGATCGTTCGCACAGAAGATTGATCTTAATTAATAAGTTATAAATCTTACAATTAAATAAAAAGGGATTTTGAATTCTAAACTAAAGAAACTAAAATTAAACAAGAAATCAAATAAAATAATGGTTGAATATAAATAAAGAATAATCAATAATAAAAGACGGTTAAATGATTAATTTTTACCTTTTTAACAATGAATCTCTAATTTTTTACAGAAACTACCAAACGTAGATAACAATAAGCTATGCTATTTCAATCTTTCCTTAATTTATTGTTAAATAAAACAAGCTCTTTATTTAATCCATTTCCCTCAACTGACCTAGAATAAGCTCTCTAGATTCAATTCAATGGAAGCATTAAGTTGATAAAGATAGGTTAATCTAGGCAATAAACACACAAGCGCAGAATATTCAACCTAGGTTATGTTCCATATGCAATCACACAAAAGCCTCTCGCAATTATTGATCACAATTCGCTACCGATAATTAGAAACTCAAGACAATTACAGATCAAGAATTCCTAATCTAGCAATAGATAATTTTCAAATCCTAATTGGTTTCGCACCCAAGAAAAATAAGAAAATAATCATGAACAATTAAATTGGAAGAACATAAACGATTTCTATTGAGAAATTGGAAACAATATCAAATCATTCAAACATAAATTTCATGTCTAGGATTTCGACATCACCCTTTAACTAAAAAAAAAATTAGCCTAACATAATGATAAAATAACACGAAGAAAAATAAATTAAAAACACATGGAGTTCAAAGGAAAGAAGAAAAGAATAAAAATTCTGAGAATCTTAAAAAAAAATCCTCACGCGAATGAATCCCTTTTAAATTTATGATGAATTCTTCCTTCTCTTCTCACTTTTTCTCAAAAAAAAAAAAAAAAAAAGCTGGAATATTATATGAGACTCCAAAAAAAAAAAAAAAAAAAAATCCCCCCAGGCCGGCTGCTTCTCCCATCTATTTATACGTTTTCATATTTGACTCCACTAGGTCAAATTTTTGGAGTTATCTTGACTTTACTTTGCTGTTCAAATTGATGCTGGCGTGGGCCTGATGGCTGCTTTGTTGTTGGTTGGCTTGGTAGCCTGGTTTGTTGGCCCACTATGCGTGTCTCTCTCTGTTTTTTTTTTTTTTTTTTTTTTTTTTTTTTTTTTTTTTTTTCTTTTGGAAGAACAATTCTCTTATTCTTTATTCTTTTCAAACATGCCCTCTGTATATTTTCTTCATTTTGGCATCCAAGATGATTCTGAAATATCCTAAATCCCTTGCTAAATTTCTCCTTCATTCTCTTTTTGTTCCAATCACCTACAAAACATAAAAACCTAATAAAACTCTAAAACTTTTAGAATCACACAAAGAGAATATGAAGGAATTCAATGAAAAATACCAAAAATTATGCACTTATCAACTTGAGTTGTGAAAAGAAGAAAACCTTATTATTTTTATTTTTTATTTATAGGATTAGAGGTGTCAATTGG